TGATCACTCCTTAAATAGCACCGAGGAGCTGCTTTTGGGGTAGGGCTGGTGATGGGTATCCAAGCCCACACCAAGGAGATGCCCAGCAGCTGTGTAGTGGTCTGCAGCTTGTGTTGCAGCCATCAGCATTTATCCTGATCTTGCAGAAGGGCTTTCCTTGGCAGCCCCTGGCAGTTCTGTGAGATGGCACAAAAGCCAACTTGGCACTGGCATGGCTCGTTCAGTCCTGTTTGTTGGAGCTGCAGGTAATTACTCCCATACTTAATGAATCACATTACTTTTATTGATGAACACGGAGGCTACATGCTGGAAAGAGGAGGTAAGGATTAAGTTTTATGGCCTACTGCTGTTATGAGAAGGAGCATCTAGACACCAATTAATGCCCCCTTGATGGGATTAGCCATTGCGTTAACCGCAATTCTGGATAAAATTGCTAAGTCTGTGACTTTAGACTTTTAACTTCTTAAATATTGTAGATAAGAAGGAAGTTCACTTACATCTTAAATGCAAATGACGTTTAATTCTAGATACAAAAAACTTGCAGAATATTTACATTTCCTTGTGATTTATACCTCCTACTACATGGATAAGAACACTCTTCTGAAGTCTTTATTTCATCCCTGCAGAGTTCAGAGATCAGACAAATTTCAAACACATAATCTGTGATTCCTTCAGTTGCTGTGCCAATAATCCCAGCTTGCAGTGAGGAGAGTGGAGGTTATAATGGCAGCAGCCTCTCCCCAGCAGATGCTATGGCTTTCCAGCAGTTCTGGTGAAGTCTGAACATCTACATTGAGTTCTTGAGGGGCTTTTCTTTGATTTTTGGTCCCATTGGTGCAGGCTGGACACATCCTGGGCACGTCTTTTCTTTCAGGGCAAATGTGAATCATTGCCTGAGGGTCAAGGCCAAGCATTTGTTTAGGAGGGGGAAAAAAATGTGTGTATCAAACAAATTTTTGTGTGATCTGCCACTGTCACAGCTGTGAGGGACAAAATCTCCACAGTCTTGAAAACATTTGCCCATGTAAATATAATTCTAAAGCTTTCTGTCAGTATAGAAGAGACCTACCTGTTACAGCATCCTCCAGGTATGTCCCTGGGCTGGTGGGCGATGCCCTTGAGATGGGTTATGGCTCTGCCTTGGCCTTGGGTGCCTCCATCCTTAATGAGTCTGGGTGACCTCCTAAACCAACAGTGAGTGTCCAGCTATCTGCATGGCCAAGGGTGGGTGAGATGTCAAGGGCTGCAACTGCTTGAGATTCCTCCTTCAGTTTCCCATTTGGGCTTTAATCTTCTGATAAGCCACAGGTGCAGTGGGGGAAATGTCAAGGTAAATGAAGACTTGAAGAGCAGAATTCCTCAGGGGAGAAATAACTTCGGTCATCAGATATTTTTCTTGGGCAGAAACAAGAAATAAGAGATGAGGTGTTCCTGAGAGCCTGATGTCAGGAAGGAAGCGCTCCTGACTGACAGTTCCTGTCCATCAGTGCTGCAGTGTGAGGGCTGCACAGCTGCACACAGTGCAGAGGAGAAGGAAATAGATGGCTACTGGGAGTTCATCACCTGCAGAGTTTACTAGCCCCAGAGCTCTGCCTGCTGGAGTGGGAGGTACCTTGTCACACTCTCTCTTGGCACTTCTCCCCATTCCCAAAGTGCTCTGGATGAAGATGGGTTCAAGGACTTGGTCTTCTTTGCATTCCTAAGGAAACGAGGACACAGATTTGGTGCAATATTTTCTTGAAAAGCTGTCTCTTTTCATGGCTTCCTTCAGGACTCCAGCTTTTCCCCGCCAGCTTCTGCATCAGTAGGTTGCTCCTTTGGGAAAGCAGAAGTTAATTTCTCATTATTATCATGCATAGATGCAGAAGATGGAAGATAGTCCCCTCCTGTTGTCCCTTGGCTCCATGATAACTTCATAGCCAGAGAAAATATCATGCAGGTGGAAAATAGCATCATCCAGGCTGTTTTCAGGAGCCATTTCTCAGGGTGATGGGGGCAGGGATGGAAGGGGCTTGTCACACAGGCAGTGGGGGCAGCTTCTGCTTGTGCACTGCTGAGGTACAGGAAGGGTCTGGTGTGTGGTACCTCTGCTTTATGGAAGCTGTATTAAACATCCATATTCGTCCTTTAAATATCCTTCTTGGATTGGAACTGGAATAAATGCAGATTATATAATAAAAAAAATAACTCTTAAAGCCATGGACCTTCTCAAGGAATAGTTCTGGCTGATCTTGCTCTGTTATCTTGAAAAAGAGACTCTTTTGGATTTGCAGTATTTGCAATTCCCTTTTGGCACCCCCAGCTCCTGAGGCAGTAAAATGTAGTTTTCATTAACTGATATGTCTGACATTTACCACATCTCGATGTGACAATTTAGAGGGAACTGGTTAAACTGAACAGCATTTTTAATATTGCAATAATGTGATTAGGGGGAAATCTCTGTCCTTCAGGCCAGAGGGACCTAAATTTGAGCACTAATGGAGAGGCAGATATGAAGCATCAGTTGACCAAAATATCCTTAACTTACTTTCTATTTATTCCCTCTTTGCATCTGATTCCTGTTAACAAGATAAGTAGGTTTAGATTCCTATGACCCAGGTGAGGGGTTTCCAAAAGAAACAAAACCCACTCAGAGCAGGACTTAGCGCCAGAAGTCAGTATGCACAGCTGAGTTGGGTGTCAAATCCAAAATGACATCTCTGGAAGATCTTCCCTGGAAATCCCATTTCCTGGGTTCCTCCCTGTCCATGTCTTACTGAGGGAAACTCTGGTTTATCCAGTGGCCTGGATCATTCCTGAGCACTGTCACGAGCCCTGGGTCACTCACCCCAAGCAACCAGCAGGTTCCAGACCCATCAGCTGCAGGGGATGATTGTTCACATTAAAAATAAGTAAGAAGATAGAATTTAGGATCTCTTTCCTGGCTGTAGCAGGAACAATTTGGGAAAAAGTAGCTCTTAGGCTGTTGTGGCAATTTGGCAGTGGATAGCAGGGTGAGAAGGAGGAAAGCATCCCAGATCTCTTCAATACTTGAGACAAAAGGCTTTCTGCTTTGCAATTGTTCCTCCTGTCCTTCCTCCTCCTTCCCTCAGGCCACAGGCAAGAAACCAAAATAGAGATTAGGCAGCTTTTAAATGCCACAGGCTCGTAAAGGAGAGGAAATCCAGAGCCGATCGAGAATTGCAGCCTGCACTCAGGCTTGTGACTTTGTCCCTCTCATCTGCAAAGGGAAAAAGGAAATCCCCACATTCAGGCTGAGTGGCAAAACCCCCAGAGATTTGGGCTGGAGTCACATCTGTCACATGCCCTGGGAACCCCCGGCAGGCCTGGCCTGCTGCGTCTGCCCACACATCACTTGTCTGAATGCTGAGGGATGAGCAGGGCAGAGCTTTCCTCTCTTCTTCCTTACAGCAGGTGAAATACAGCAGCAGTGTACATCAGGTTAAAATTGTGTTTCATCTCATGGAGTTATCTTTAAAAACCAGCTGCTTTCTGTGAGCCTTAAAGCAGCTCGATATACTCTTATCAAAATCGAAAGCCGCTCCAGAGATCCTTAAGAGATTTTGTTTCATTGGGCTCTATTTTCTATAAATCTCGTTAACTGCTTTGCCAGTGCCCTCTCACTGCGTTCCTTTTTCATTGCAGAAATGGAGCAACAAAGCCGGTTGCAGCCCTGCGGAGCAGCAGCGAGGCTGCAGAGCGAGGCTGTGCCCTGCCTGTGCCCACGAGGCGCTGGGGGCGAGGGAAGCAGGATTTCCCTGGCATCAGGAGCCTGCAGCTCCTCTGAGCACGTGTTTTGTGAAGCACAGAGGCACCGGGCAGGAGATCAGCTCACGCTGCCTTTTCATCGCCTGCCCTGACCACGCAGGGGACGTGGGACACAGCCCGACGGGGCCTGGGGGGTCTCTGGTGTTGTGAGAAGGGTTTGAGCTGACATGTGCAGTGACTTGGGGTTATAGAATAAACATTGAAATGAGATACACAATACCTCCACTGAATGAATGCACTATCTCCAGTGCTGTCAAACAGACACCGTGGCTGTGCTGACACCCAAGTGTTTATTTTCAGGGTGATGTGTAGGAGGAAGAGAGGAGGAGCAGCCTCCCCGAGCCCTTGGGTCCAGGCTGCTGGGACCTGGGTGATAGGAGGAGGTGTAGTTTGGGAGGATGGGGCTTGGGTTTCTGGCCAGAAGCAAAAAATATTTGTGTGTATGTGGAAAAAATGCTCACTGCCTCCCAGCTTAGAGGGTATTTGTTATTTCTCAGTTATAACAGACTTGCCTCGCTTGTGATTCCGCTAATCAAACAGCAAGATCTCTCTCTACACCCAAGTTACACTGGCTTCTGTCTGCTGGGCATCACTGTGCCTTTAAGGACATTTCAAATTGCTGTCTTAGTTTTTAAGTGGTAAAAGTTTTCCTGTGTCTTTGAAGTTGAGAAGGTGCTCAGAAGGGAGAAGGTTACTCCCTGTCTAGCACTGATCTAAGCAGAACAGTGAAACCAATGTATAAGCTTGTGCTTTTATCCTTCCCTTCTTTTTTGCTTGTTTATTGTCATTTTAAGCAAACATCCATGTCCTGGTGCAGCCTTAGAGGTGGTTGGAATCTCATTCTGCTGATGTGTTAGCAAGAGAGAGAAATTGTAATTAAATAACAACAATCCTTTTTTCTCCTAAATTTTCTTTCCTTCTAATTTTCAGCATGTAGCAGTCAAAATACATCCAGTAAAAATGTTGGCTATTTTATCAGACTTCCTTTTTTTTTTCTTTAAGCTATCACTGTCACTTCCTGCATTAGGTGCAAGGTCCTCATGGAACAGTTTGCAGATCGCAGACATCACTTCAGCCTGGTAACAGCAGCAAAAGGGGAGCATTTATTTGACACCAAATCCTGGCTGTTGCTGTTCTGTGCAGCTTTAGCTGGTTTGTGGGACATTGTTCCACAGACACTTTGAGTCTGGTTTTGTTGCTTTATGTAACCCAAACCTGTTTCTTGCTTTTAGACCACAGAATGGTTCTATGATCCTGTACAACAGAAAGAAAGTGAAATACAGGAAAGATGGATATTGCTGGAAAAAAAGGAAAGATGGGAAGACCACCAGAGAGGATCACATGAAACTGAAGGTGCAAGGAGTGGAGGTAGGAGCGTGGTGGGGGTGGCTGTGGGCTGTGCTGGGCCAGGACTTGATGGCTCCCTAAGACACCTCAACCCAACAAAGGCTGTCCTCACCTTCAGAAAAATACTCCTGTTTGCTGAATTCCACCTGCTCCCCGTGTCCTGAGTCATAGTCGCTGGCTGGGGTTAAACCACAACTCGCCCTACCCCCAGCAAATACACTTGTTCTTTATCACTCCTTTGAGCAAACTGTGAGTACAGCTTCAGCATCAGCCTGTGTTCCTGCTGGCTGGGCTGTGTGACTGCACTGTCACCACACTGAGCATCTCCTGGTGGCCTCCGTGGGTTTTGTAACAGGCACTGCCGACACCTCAGGGTGGGCTGCTCTGTAACCATGGCAGCTGGAATGGGTCCGATTTGATTCTCGCAAATCTCGGCCAGGTTTTGGTAGCAGTTGCTGTAATTTCTGTGTGCTGATGGAGTGTTGGTCTTGCAGTATGCAGGGGTAGAATTTCTGTTGAATTTGGCCCAGAATCCACGTGTGTTTTGAGAGAACCTTTGTTTTGCTGATGGTATTCAGCCACTCAGACATTCATGGAAGTGATTTCACCTGAGGCATTATTTCTGGAATAAGCCTGTTTGTTCTAAAATATGTCATTGTTTGACAGCACTTCTCTTTCTTAACATCTGCATGAGGAGAGAGCCGTTTTGGTCACTCTGGTCACTTCTAATGTTAAAGGTTTACACAGGTGTGGATAACAAGTGCATTTATCCAAGTTTTGTATTTATTAAATGGCAATTACTTGTTCTGGTAGCAGAAGCCTACCCTCAGAGCTGTGCCCAGATCATTCCTAAGGCAGCAGGGCCATATTCCCAACACTGGATACCAGACTTGGGGCCAAAGTGGTCAAAGGCTGCTACAATGTGTAATTGCAGTGTTCAACTGTGTCATTTTGGCCAAGGAAGTGAGGCTGCTGGGTGTATGTGGGTGTGTGTGTGTCTGTCTGTCTGTGTGTGTCTGTGTGGGTGTGTGTCTGGGTGGGTGTGGGTATGTGTGTGTGGGTATGTGTCTGTCTGTCTGTCTGTCTGTGTGTGTCTGTGTGTGTCTGTGTGTGTCTGTGTGTGTCTGTGTGGGTGTGGGTATGTGTGTGTGTGTGTGTGTGTGTGTGTGTCTGTGTGTGTCTGTGTGGGTGTGGGTATGTGTGTGTGGGTATGGGTATGTGTCTGTCTGTCTGTCTGTCTGTCTGTCTGTGTGTCTGTGTGGGTGTGGGTATGTGTGTGGGTGTGTGGGTGTATTTGTGTGTAGGCTGGGTTGATGTTACAGCTGACAGCCTGTGAGCCTGGCCAGGGTTGGGGTAATTGGGCTGTCCATGACAGGCAGAGTTTCACCTGTGTCTCCAGGCCTGTCTGGCAGCTGCCAGGCTGCACTTTGGGCTAAGCTGAGCTTTCCAGTTTCACCCCCAGGCCTGCCTTGGCAGATGCTTTGCTCGTGTTGGGGTACGGGCACCCTGTGCTCCCCACGTGCTGCTGGTGGTTGACAATCCCCCAGCATCCCCCAAGTCAGTGCCAGCAACGGGAAGGGGATGAGTGCCCAGAATTCATCTCGTGCTCCAGCTTCCTCCTAGCCCATTTGTCATTCTTACATTCTGTCTGCTCTAATGAGGTTTTGGGGTTTAAAATAGTATTAAATGTATTGCATTATATTACACCAGAGAGGCATAACTTTGTTCCATAATTTTTACATCCAATAACAATGTTTTATTATGACAAGCACCAAAAAAAAAAGTCCTCATCACAGAAATGGTGCCTTGTTTTGTTTCGGGTTTGCAGAGTGGGATTTAATTAACTTCTGTAAACTTTTCACAATGCAGAACACCAGACCCTGTGCTGTCCCTTTACCTGAAGCAAGAGATTGTTGATGACCTTTGGCTGCCCCATGAGCACACAAGAAAATAAATGGGACTTTCTTGGGGTTATTCCAAAGCTGGAGCTCTCCAGCCCTTTAGGGCCCGACTGCGTGGATGCGGTGATGATCATTGTTAGGCTTAAAGAGCCCTGCACTGAACCCATTAATTTCTGTTTTTAGTGAAGTGTGTCTCCTGGAAAGTAACAAACACAGATGGGCACATTGTGGAAGCTGGAGGAAGCACAGCTTTCAGGATTTCTCCTTGTGGCTGATCACAATCACCACTCAGGAAAATAAGTGTTAAACTATTTGCTTTGCGATTTGGATGTACCAGGGTTTAGCCATTCATTCCTAAATCCTTCTCCAACTTGAGAGCCCTTTAGTACCTGATTTTCTTTCTTCAAGGAGGTACTTGCACCCTCTCATGCACAGGCAGCACCTGGGTGGTCACTGTCAGTCTCTGTTCTGAACTATGCAGAAGTCTGTTTTCTTGACTTCCAGGTGTTTCTTGGGCAGAATGATGTAGTTTTAACCTTATTCGTTAATTTCTCAATCAGTACACCATGGTACTTCACAGACAGCATTTTGGGTTTAGGATTCTGATACCATTCTGAAAGGAAACAATGTTCTCAACTTGGACACGTAGGCAGCAGATTTAAAATAACAAAAAAAGGCTTTTTTCAAATTTGGAGTGATACCGTAGTTAGCCGCATTAGGGTTTAACAGGGCATGAAATAACTGTCTGCCTTGTGGCACTGCCAGATCATCTCAGCGACTCTTGCAGCCAGAAGATAAATAGGGATCATTGTCACACTGATGGAAAAGTACTTGCAGAGCCGACAGCCAAAAGCATCAACAGCATCCAAACATTGCTCTGGAAATGGCAGCTTGGAGGCAGGGAGGAGGAACATGCTGGCCTGTGAAGCTACTGACCAGCCAGTTCTGAACAGGGATTTGTAGTAGAAGATTTAATCATTAATTCCTTCCCAAGTGTTGTCAATGTGATGGCTCCTTTGTCTTTCCAAGTTTTGGGTAAATAAAAAAAAATACATTCTGAAACAAAAAGTTTACATCAGATCCTGAGGGATGTTGATGTCTATCAGAACCATACAGAAGGATTTGGTGAGCATGGGTGAGGCAGCTAAAGCAAATTTGGGACATAAATGAGGAATAAACTAATTTGACTAGGAATGCACTCATTTAAATATATATGGATTAGGAGGAATAAACTGCTTAACCAAGTGAATGTTAAATGAAAACGACCTGAAATCCTCAAGCTGTTTTCTTGGTTAGCATTGCTGTGCAGGAAGGGTTTGGGTATTACTTGGTTAATCTGATCATAGTCCTATTAGAACAGGCTGGATAAACCAGAAAGGAGAAGTTAATTTGGCCTTTTCCTTAATGCACCTCTTTGTGCAATTCTTTGTGGAATCTCCGGTCTGTGATCCTTTTTAAAATTCTAATTAATTAGGATCCCTGGTGATGTGTTCCTAATCAATTCACATAATTAAAAATTTTAACTAATAAATAATAGTAAGGGGAGTGTTGGAATAGCTTTGCTGTGATTCCGGATGGTGCTGCTCCGCATCAGAGGTGCCTGGCTCAGCGGATGCGTTTCTGCCTTTTCTTGTGTGTGAACTTTTCCAGGAGAGTGGAACTGCGCCTTCACGTGAATTCGTAGTAAACTGCTGCTAAAATTAAAACGAGGTCATGTTTTTGTAGTGAATTTCCCTCTTGTCATCTGCGTTTTGGAATCATCTGCGTTGATCCTGCTGCTCTTTATCCTGTGTTGAGGATATTTTAATCTCTCCAAACCTCAGTGCCTGAGAAGTGGTTATGGAGAAGGGCTGTCCCAGGGCTGGGGCAGAGCTGTGCCCCTAGTCCCACTCCAGGAACCAGAGCTTCTGTATTTGAAACATCTTGGTCTCTTGTAGACTGGGTGTTTGTTTCCTTGGTGCAATTCAATAATCTTTATGAATTCCTTAAAAAAAACAACAAAAAAACAACCACAAAAAAAAACCAATAAAAAAGTAAAACTTGATTTCAGTCTTATTAAGAGAGAAACTCCCTTGTGGAGATGGAGATGCGAAGTATCAATTTTGTATGCAGGACTTGTATTTAATTAATATCATAACAGTCCCTTAACACTATTGCAGATTAGTCCATGAGGACAGGAATGAAAATTTTAGATTATTCAATTACTGCATAAACCCTGGGACATCACCATCAAAACTTCACACGGGTTTCCGTAGCATTTGGGTTTTGGCAGCGTCCCTGTGCCCACCCTGGCTCACCGGGGTGGGGATGGCATCAGTGGCCTCTGCAGCCTGGGGCCAGGGGCAGCTGTGAAGAACCAGACTGATTCCTCGGGCAGCCTGAGCCAATTCACTCCAATTCGCTTGAATTTACACGGGCTTTGCTCGCCCTCAGAGGTGAGCTGTGTAGTTTGCAAACTAATTAGGATCACATTGTTCAGTCAGTCTGCTTAATGCATTCCAGAGAAATACTGTGGAATGGCTGTGGATGAGAAAGGAGAATTTAATGTGAGAGGCTTTCTGGAAATACGACACACGCGTGTGCATACACTGACACAAACAAGCGGCCCTGAGCAAGGGAGAAACTGCTCACAAGGAGGGGCACTTTTCTGTTCTTCATCATTGCTTCAGCAAGGGAGAAACTGCTCACAAGGAGGGGCACTTTTCTGTTCTTCATCATTGCTTCAAATAGCATTGTCCTGACACCTCTCCTGAGATTTGACTGATCCCCTTTACAACCAGCCTCTCCCTTAATCCCCTGTAGCTCATTAGAGACCATGGAGTCCAACAGCATCTCCTCACTTTTGTTGTGGCCCACGCACCTTTGCTGTGGCACACTCACCTTTGCAGTGTGCACGTCTCCACAGAGGGCACCACAGGCAGATGCTGCTGCAGAAATGTGGAGGTGTTGACTGCTCATGAGCTGTGGTTGGGATTTATTCCTCTTCCAGCTGGTGTTTACAGTACCTGGAATGCAGGGTGTGATGGCGTCTTAATGATTCCTGTGTTGGAGGCAGTCCTGGGAAATGGGAGCGTTGTTTTGCCATTTCTGAAGGGGAGTATGGATTATTGTTAAATCCAG